GTAAACATGGCTGTGCATATATCTGCTTGGGTGGTGGTTATGGTTTCTTTAGGGTATATTCCCAGTATTGGAATTGGGTCAAATGGTATTTCTATTTGCAACTTTTTGAGAAAGCGCCATACGGCCTTCCACAGTGGTTGCAACATTTTACACTCCCACCAACAGTGAATAAGGGTTCCAGTTTCTCCACAACCTCGCCAGCATTTGTTGCTTGCTGTTCTGTTAAATTTTGCTATTCTTACTGGGGTGAGATGATATCTCATAGTTGTTTTGATTTGCATCTCTCTTCGAGCTAGGGATTTTGAACATTTCTTCATGTGTGTGTTTGCCATCTGAATGTCTTCTTTGGTGAAATGTCTGTTCATATCCTGTGCCCATTTTGCAATTGGGTTGTTTTTCTTGTTGTGGTGCTCATGTATTTTATAAATTCTTGATATAATTCCTTTATCTGACATGTCATTACCAAATATTTTTTCCCCAGTCTGTGGCTTCCCTTTTTTACCCTGTTGGAGAAGTTTTTAGATGTGCATAGATAGGGATTTGATGATTAGAAAGTCCCATTCATCTGTTTTATCCTCTCCTGGTTGTAGAAGAACCAACATTTTTTTTAGCCTCCCTCTTTCTCATGAGATGATTCAAGAAGGGATCATCAATGTTACCATCTTTGTTATCCAGTGTTCTAGTGGCATAGTTGGTTAGAACACTTCGCATTTCCAACTGTTTGAATCCACCAGAGGCTCCAAAAGAAAAAGATAGCGGCTTTTTCCCATTAAGATTTACTGTTTTGGAAGCCACATTGCAGAGTCAAATGAAGCAGAACCAACTTGATGGCAGTGAGTTTAGAAATGCCACAAGTCGGTGGTTTCAACGAACAGAAATTTATTTTTGTCTCAGTTTAAGAGGTTAGTGGTTCAAATTCAGGAAATAATCTCTAGGGAAAGACTCCCCCCACCCCCCTTCCCGTAAGCTCTGGTGAAAATCTCTTTGTCAGCATTGCTCTTTGACTCCATGGACTGCCAAAAGAACAGTAAGCTAAGATGGTGAAACTCTGACTCACATACTTTGGGCATCAGGAAAGGGAAAAGTCATCATGCTGGAAAAGGTAGAAGGTCAGAGAATAGAGGAAGATCCTCAAGGAGGTGACTAACACAATGGTCTTGAGCATGTGAACAGAACAAGGTTTATAGAGTCGTTCAGTGTCATAATGAGTCAACATTGGCCACCTTGGTTCCATTGTGCTTTTCATGTGGATGACATCTTACGTCACCCCAGTCTGAGCTTTTGTCCATTATGCCTAATCTGCTCATTTTGTTTAAAACATTCTTTTAAAATGTTTGAAAAATTATTAGCCTTTATTGTTACTGTGCCTTTGAACTAAGTAAAACTCACAGCAACGCTGTGAACAACAGATCTGAACTTTGTCTTGTTCTGTACTACCCTTATCATCCTTAACATATTTTAATCCATTGCCACAGACACTGTATCAGTCCATCTTGTACCAGTGTATCTCATTGAGGGTCTTCCTCTTCTTCCAGGATCCTCCATCTATCTTTCCAAGCTTGATGTTCGTTTTCAGGAAATAACCTCTTCTGACAACCTATCCAGAATATGTGAGACTAAGCTTCACTATCTTTGTCTCCAAGGAATACACTTGTTGCACTTTTTCTAAGACATATTGGTTTTCTTGGAAACATAACATGTTTCCAGATAAAGAAATTGAAAACATGTCCTCCAGAACCAAAATACAACCTCAGATCTATCCCACATGAATTAAAAAAAATATCTGACAAATATATATAACACATTGAACATTAATGACTGAAGCCTAGGTGAGCTGTGGGATGACATCAAGGCTATATTCATGAAGAAAGCCAAACAAAGGTCATTACAAAGATAGAGGAGAAAGAAAAGATCAAAATGGATGTCAGAAGAAACTACAGATGGCACTGGAATGTAGAGAGGCCAAAACAAAGGAAAGAAATGCTGAAGTGCTAGAGACGAATAGAAAAGTTTAAAAGGCATCTTAAGAAAACAAAGCAAATGTAACAAGTGTGCAACAAATTGGAGTTAGAAAAGAAAAAGGGAAGAGCATGCTCTGCATTTCTGAAGCTGGAAGAATGGGACAAGTTTAAGCTTTGTGTTGGAATACTGATAGTCTGTGGGTGAAATATTGAATGATGTAGGAAGCATTCAAGATGGAATAAAAGCACACCACCGCATGTAGAGAATAGGGTTTACAGTGTATTTTATGGAGCATACAAGTCAATTCATAACATGTTAAACCATAAACATTTATAGTCATGCAAGGCCAACACTTAGCACAAATGACTTGCTCCAGTTCATAATGACCCTGTGTGTAACAGATTGAAATCATTCGTATCCTTGCTCCATCCTTAGTTTCCCCTGTGCTTAAGTCCATTTTAGTCACGTTGTCAGTCCATCTCATTATGGATGTTTTCTCTTCCTCTCACCCTTCTCAGGACTGACTCTTCCTGAGAAAATGTTCAAGGTATATGAGAAAATGTCTCACTAACATTGTCTCCAAGGAACACCCTGCTTGCATGCCCTCTAACATAGATGGGCATGTTCTCTTGGCAGTATTCAGTGCACTTTGCCAACACTTAATTCAAAGGCATCATTATTCACTCTTTTTATTCATGGTTTAACTTTCACATACATATGAAGCAGTTGAAAATACTTTGGCTTGGATGATGTGTACCTTAGTCTTTAAAGTGACACTATTGTTTTTTAGTACTTTGTAAAGTGCTTTGTAAAGCTTTATTAGCATTAAGAAAAGTATGAAATCTTGCACCATCATAACCCTCAGTATGGATAGAAATTTGTGTTGCTAAGCTTCTTGCTGGAGCTCTGTGTGATTCATCTGAATCTTTACTTTCTCATTAATAAACTGTTGTCTGTATACAGAGATCTGGTGGCTTAGTGGTAAGGAATTGTGCTCCCAATGCAAAGATATAGGGTTCAGATCCACCAGCTGCTTCATGTTAAGAAGATAGGCAGTCTCTTCCTGTGTAATTTACTGTCTCTGAAAATCCCCTAGAGGGTCAGCTATGTGTCGGTTTCAACTCAGCGGTACTTTGGATATATTGTTAGGAGAGGCTTGTTCCTTGGAAAGGGACATTCCTTTCCAAGAAGAAGGTCAGCAGAAGAGGAAAACTTCAGTAAGATGGATTGACACAGAGCCTGCCGCAGTGGGCTCAACTGTGTTGGGGATGATAAGGATGGTGCAGGATAGGATTGAGTTCAGCTCTGTTGTTCACAGAATCTCTGAATTATACACAACTTGACCTTACAACAGTAACAACTCAAAAGACAAGTGAGCTCTGGTGGCCTATTGGTAAAAAAGTTGTTCTCCGAACCCCAAAACAGGTAGATCACATCCATGAGCAACTCAAAGGGAGAAAAATGGGCAATCTCTTATGTGATTTACTGCCTATGAAAATCCTCTAGAGTGTCAATTATAGATCAGTTCTAACTTAGTGGTATGTATCAGCTACAACAAAATGTAAATGTGTTGATAGTTTTTAGAAACAGTAATATTGGACTACATGTTTCATTGTGTGGAATAACCAAAATTTATTCTTTTATTTTTTTAAAATATTTATTTGTTTTTAATTTGGTGTACCGTCAAATTGGATCCAACTGGCACAGGAGGAGTTTGCCCCTCCTTCTCTGGCGGAGTCTCTGGTGGATTCAGACTGCACACCTTCGGGATTGCAGTGCAGCTTCTTGCTACTAGGCCACCAGAACTCCCTGTTTTGTTTTTACATATTTTTTGATTGGTTGCCTAAAATCATTCATGTACATTTTATTTATACAATCAGGTTGCCTAAAATCATTCATGTACATTTTATTTATACAATCATTAATTTACGTTGTGCTTCATTCAAGTACATTCTGTTTTACATAATCATTCATATACCTTGTTTTTTATATAATTACTGTTGACCTATGCCTATTGTCACTTCCTCTTTTAAAGACCTCATTGAATCTTTTCTTATTCCTTCACCCTCTAATGGGCCCGCTAACCTCTGCTATCCTAGTGATTTTCCCAGTTCCCCTTTTTCTGCTCCCTTTCCCCCTTCCCCTTTTAATTTATGCACATCTTGCTCTGTTATCCTTCTGATTGTCACAGAATTGCATAACACTCTCTAGACCCTTCCGTGTTATATAATATTTTGCAAATCATTGTTCTTTAGTGATACATAGTATTCCATTGTGTGAATGTACCACAATTTCTTAAGGCGTTCATTTGCTGATGGATATTTGGGCTGTTTGCATATTCTTGCTATTGTAAATAATGTTGCTGTGAAAATAGGTATACATGGAATAACCGTAATTTATTCTTATTGTTATATGAATGCTAGTTTTCTTTCCTTGTGGAATATTTGTTTTGTTTTGCCATATAGTTTTATGCCATTAAGGTTTGTGAAGAATGAGAAAGTAAAAAGTGTTTTCTCTCCTGTCCTCTGCTCTGAAACTTTAGTGAAGAGGAAGAGAGTGAGGAAAACCCTACAAAAATAGTAGTTATTGTGCCTATGATTTTGGGTAGGGGATAGAATTAAAATTGTAACTTACATAATAGCCCATTTAAATTGGTTACCTGTTGCTTTGTTTGAAGGGTACTTAAGTGGTAAAGAGGGGTGCCAAAAACTGGGGAAGCAGTGTGGCCTGAGAAAAGAGAGCAGGTAGTTTTGTTTTTTCATTTAGGTCGTTATTTGTAGCTAAAGGCCTTCCTGAAAGGAATAATAATAGAATAACTATTTTAGAGAGTGTTCCATTCTTTAGAAATGGTGCTCAGCTATGGAGAATATGAGAAATATGTAAGGCTTAAATGTCTTTGGAAGAGGAATTCTGAGAAATAGTTCCTTTTTTGATAAAATGACATTAAGCATGAAAGAAATATTCTCCCCTTTGAGCTAGAATTGTAGCTTCTCAGGTTCCAGAATAGTGATTCCTTGACGCTATTCTCTGTTCATTAGAGTTCCATGAAGACAACTTACAAAGACCTGAATGGCCTCAGTTTAGCTGCTTCAGAGTGTGTGGAGCTATTTCTTGCTCCGTCATTTTCTGTGCCTGGTCTGACAGTGGCCACTGAGAACCATGAAGGTTGTCCCAGAGAAGAATGCTGTCCGGATACTGTGGGGACGAGAACGGGGCACTCGGGCTTTGGGAGCTCAGCGGCTTCTGCAGGAGCTGGTGGAAGATAAAACCCGATGGATGAAGTGGGAAGGCAAGGTAAGAAAAATGGTTTTTTGGTTTTGTTTTATTTTTACATAAAATTTGTTGTTCTTTGGTGGTGTTGGCTCCAGCAATGACCCTAGGAAACCATAACTATCTTGAGTCATAATCATAATCTCTGCTATGGCCTTTAGAAAGGGTCAGTGTTAGACAGTTGGAATTTATTTTGGGGGGAGAATTTATATATTTAAATAACTTAGGAAACTGCTTACAAATTGGGAAGAGTTTATTACCTAGAAGTATCTTTTTTTCTTTAAGAGCAATTTTTCTAGACAGTAATTTCTATTTGTGTCTCAATTTGTTACTTGATTATTTTTTCTAGTTTTTAAGCCTACAATGAGAAGACTAATCAGGAATGATTCATATGCTTTTGAGATAGGGTGAGCCATGGCTTATAAGTAACGTATTTAAACTTTTTCCTGTTTTTTTTTTTCCTTTTTGTCTCCTAGAGAGTAGAACTTCCAGATAGTCCACGATCTACCTTCTTACTGGCCTTCAGCCCAGACAGGTATCTATAAGTTAACCTTAAACCTTAAGACTTGTGATGACACTGCTTTCTGTGTTTGTCCTAGCTCTGCCTTCCAAGATAAACCTCTAAGGACTCTTTGAAGCACTTTATAACCAGAACTTTGGCAATGTAAAAGAAAAGGAATGAAAGTAGAGGACAATTCTGACTATAAAAAGAATAGGAATAAGGAAAAGTAATGATAGATAATGTTGAGGATCAAAACTTTTGAGAGTTTCTCAATAACAGTCCTTTGCCTTTGTGGTATAGGCCACCAATGGCTTGGCATTTTTTCTAGTGGTGGGGGGGAGAAAATTCTCTGAAGGTGATATGAGTCATTTTGGGACAGTGTGGAGAAGCCAGTGCTTTTGAAGATCAGACTCTTTCTGTTGTTTGTAGATATGCTGCTTAAATGCCCAAGGCTTAGTTTCTTTCATGCTGGAATGGGGAATAATAGTACCAGTTTTCTGTGTTGTCCAAAGCTGATAAAGTTTGTTACTGTCCCACATGTTTCTTAATACACTTCCTACTCTTTTTTTTTTTTTCCTTAGGACTCTCTTGGCTTCTACCCATGTGAACCATAATATATATATTACGGATGTGAAGACTGGCAAGTGTGTGCACTCTCTGATTGGACACCGCCGTACTCCGTGGTGTGTTACTTTTCATCCCACCATCTCAGGCCTTATTGCTTCTGGCTGCCTAGATGGGGAGGTGAGAATTTGGGATTTACATGTAAGTACTTCCTTAGCTGTCCTTTTATTTGGTATTCTGAATGCAGACACGTCATTGCCATTGCGTTCTTAATCCTGGATCAGAGATTAACCAGATTCTTGGCGCTATATCTGAGTACATAGTATTTATTGCTCCATTAACTAATACCAAATCCAGCACATGGTCTTCGATTTTAAGATGAAAACACTATTTAGTTATTCTTCCATTTGCTCATTGTAACATAGTATAGGCGGTCTTAGGGTGTATTAAGACTGGGTTTCTGTTATTTCAAGGCAAGAATAATACTGTACTCTGATCATGCTCATCAAAGCAGTGTGCTCCTGTTGTTGTTGTGTGCTGTTGAGTTGGAACTGACTCATAGCTGACCCTTCATTGGGTTTTCAGAGGCTGAAAATCACATGTAAGGAGATCGCCTGTCTTTTCCTTATGGAGCAGCGGATAGATTTGAGCCACTTGCTTTTGGGTGGACAGAACAACTCCTTACCACTGGCTACCAGAGCTTCCTCAGTGCTTCTAGACCATCAGAAAGGCACTGTTCTGGTGACTGACTATTATATTGTATACTATAGTCAGTTATACAGGCCTGCATTTTCGCAGGCTTCATAGAAAGGAATTATGGATATGCTCATTGTTTATAAATGAGAACTGAGTGGATGGAAATTGTTGCATGCTATGGGCAGTACAGCCATATCACAGCTTTTACATTTTACAGTGGACATATTTTAAGTAGATCCCTCAAGTGGTCATTTTATTTTAAATGAACTGTTCTTGAAATTGTATAAAAAGCGCTAGAACAACATGAAGAAGGCATGTCTGACCTTTATTCCACAAAGAGAGACTGCTCCGATCAACAACATCACAACCTAAAACTTAATTCCCAAGAAGTCAGACATGTTCTTATTCTCTCATGCCAATTTCTACTAATTTCTAATATCAGTCCTATTGCTCTGCTGGGTTTGTAATTGATTGCAGTAGCTACACAGACCACACAAAAACTAACTCACTTTTTATTAGTGAAGTTATCAGATCAGGTTCAATTTGGCAACAGGAAAAAATTCCTAAATCAGGACAGCTTCGAAAACTTGCTCACAGACCCTTCAGCCTAACAGCTTTAGGGATATGTTACAGAGCTCTTTTGTTGTGTACTGTAAAATTGAAACTGACTCAAAGCTGACCCTCCAGCAGGTTTTCAGAAGCAGCACATCACAAGGGAGTGATTGCCCATATTTTTTCCTGTGGAGCAACTGGTGGATTCAAATCACATATCTTTTTTCATTGGCAAAGATTTCTTATCATTAAGATGCCAAAGCTCCTGCCGTTTATGGTGTCTTCCCTTTAGTCTTCTAATAAGCTTGGACAAAGGCTCCTACCTTTGTTTTGTGGGGTAGTGGTCTCACAGTCAGCTCTGTTTTTCTGTCCAGTCTGGTTTTCTGCTGTGACTGCCACTGCTCTCTCTCTTTTTTTTCTCCTTTCATTTTTTAAATTAAATTTTAATGAAAGTTTGTAGAGATTTTTTGATTTCCATTCATACGTTTTTATACACTTTCTTCCCCACCCACCCCTCCCCCAGTTCACTTTTCTCTTTGAAGGAAAAAACCTCTTTCATTGTTATAAAATCCTTTTCCCCAACTCCCAGTCCACTTTACTATGTAGCTCTTATTCTGGACTGTTGTCATGAAAATAATATCTAATCATATATTTCTTTTAAACAGTTTTCTAATTCTTTTTTTTTTTATAGAGGAGGTGGTTGTTTTTTTTTTTTTAATTTTATTATTTTTGTGTGCGTGTACCGTCAAATCAGATCTGACTGGTACAGGAGGAGATTGTCCCTCCTTCCCCGGCAGAACAACTGGTGGATTCTAACCATGTGCCTCTGGGATTGTAGTTGCAGCTCCTTGCCACTAGGCCACCAGAGCTTCCCTAACAGTTTTCTATTTCATCTCTTTCAGTGCAGTATACATTATTTATCCCCTCTTAAGTTCCCCCCAACCCTGATGTAGTCCCGTTTTACAACAGTAGCACTAAGCAGTATTTGTCCTTTTGTGACTGAGATATTTCACTCATCATAATATTCTCCAGAGTCACCCATTTTGGATAATATTTTCATGATTTGTCTTTCAAGGCAGCATAGTATTCCATTGTGTGACTATACCACAGTTCCACAGTTTTTCTATCCATTTGTTTGTTGATGGGCACTTAGGTTGTTTCCAGCTCTTTGTTATTGTGAACAAAGCCACGATGAACATGGGTATGCATATATCTGCTTGGGTGGCATTTATGGTTTCCTTTGGGTATGTTCCCAGTAGTGGGTCAAATGGTATTTCTATTTGCAACTTTTTGAGAAAGCGCCATACTGCCTTCCATAGTGGTTGCACTATTTTACACTCCCACTAACAGTGAATAAGGGTTCTGGTTTCTCTGCAATATCTCCAGCATTTGTTGTTTGCTACTCTGTTTGCTATTCTTTGCGAGCTTTGGTGGCATAGTGGCAAGAAGCTGCACTGCAACCCAGAGGTGTATGGTTCAAATCTGCCAGATGCTCTGCTGGAGAAGGAAGAACAATCTCCTCCTCTACCAGTGAGATCTGATTTGACGGTATACCCCCCCCCAAAAAAAATAAAATAAAAAAAAATTGCTATTCTTACTGGGGTGAGGTAATATCTCATAGTTGTTTTGATTTGCATCTCTTTTAGAGCTAGGGATTTTGAGTACTTCTTCATGTATTTGTGAATCATCTGAATGTCTTCTTTTGTGAAGAGTTTGTTCATATCCTGTGCCCATTTTACAATTAGGCTGTTTATCTTATTGTGGTGTGCCACTGCTCTCTCATTAGGTCCAGATCTTACTGGCATAGGAACCTCTGGTCCTAAAGGACATGCACTGCATTCACCAGTCCCCTGCTGGATAGACTAACACATTCTATTTGCATATTCCCACCCAACCATTTGGCAAGGGCAGTGGCCTAGGAAAGCTGTTTTGAATAATAGACCCATTACACCGCAGATTGTCTTCCCTGTCTGCTGGTCCCGTGTATCCTGAAAATATTTGGGAACGATTCATTTCATAGGGTGGCAGTGAAAGCTGGTTCACAGATAGCAACAATGCCATTGCCTCCCTGGCTTTCCATCCCACGGCTCAGCTTCTGCTGATTGCTACCGCCAATGAGATCCATTTCTGGGATTGGAGTCGACGGGAACCCTTTGCTGTGGTGAAGACAGCTAGTGAGATGGAACGAGTTCGGTGAGTACCCTGTCCTTCTAGTCATGTCTGGCACAGGCCTACCATGGCAGAGAACGTGTCTACCTACTGTTATCCCTTCTTGTGGTCAGTTATCATCCTATGGTTTCTCCTACTTTTAAAGTATCTGGCCAGTCAACTGGGAAGCAGTTAATTTCTTTCAGATAATTCAAAATCCACTTTTTATTTAAATCTTCTTGGGCTTGGGATAGAGCCCTCTCTTTTTTATATTAGTAGCTTGGTGGGTTCATTCCTGATAGTTTCTGTCTATCAAATGGAGGATGGAGATGTTTCAAGTTTGGATATAGGCTAAATTTTTAGTCTAAGCTGCATTGCTTGATGCTGAGACTCTTTGTCCTTTGTCCTCAGAATTCATGCTAAATAATGTAACTGCTCTTTGAGAAGAGAACTGAACCTGTGGCAAAACATAGATGTATTTTGTTGCTTTTTAACTATGAAGAACTGTTGTTCTGTGCCATCAGGTCAGAACAGACCCGTAACTGACCCTCTAGTAGGTTTTCAGAGCAGTTAATTGCATGGGAGCAGCTGGTGGGTGGATTCAAACTGCATGCCTTTGAGATTATAACGCAGCTTCTTTGAACCATTCAGCCACCAGATCTCCTTATTGGAGAGCTGTTAGATGTGGCAAATAAAGACTTCCTGTAGCTATTTCCATGGATGGAAGCCTGGATATTTTCCAAAAACGAAATTATTATTTTAGTGATAAAATAATATCCCTCACTCTGACAAGTATAAAGTGGTGACAAAGTATTGAGCCTTGTTATTTTAATCAGGAAATTTTGAAAGTTTTAGCATAAAATATCTACTAGTAATCCCGTAATTATCAGTAAAGTAGAACACAAGTTTTCTATTTTTAATTAACATAATCTCCGTATGTGTTTGCTTGTCTCTTTTAATCTTCTGTGTTCTCAGTCTGGTGAGATTTGATCCGCTTGGACACTACTTACTCACAGCAATTGTTAACCCTTCTAACCAGCAGGTAAGTTAGTTAGCATTTCCACTCCAATTAAACTGTGGGTTTTTCTAAATTAGTGCTCTGTGATTAAATTGAACTCGAATTCTTAGTGCTGAACTGCTTCTTTCCAGTCAAGATCCAAAAGTAGCTTTAGACTCTATATTAAAAATTATAGCTGTGATCCTGGAATGAGAGTCAGTCTGAAGCCTCTGAGTAGTTACCTCGTTAGCACTAACCTGGTAGTGTTGAATCGCTCACCATGCATGTGTGTCTGGCTGGTTGACATTTTGTTTCCCTTTAATGCCCCCAGGTTATGGAGATGTCTTTTGCAAGAGAATTGGTTTGCCAGCTGTAGTCATTTAAATGTGTTGCTAATTGAAAGTGAATAATTTAATAGCACATGATGATTCTGAATTGTTAGCCAGTTAGTGGTTCTTAGTGCTGCTGGGATAAAGAGGTTTTGTGTATATATGAAGGTTATTGTCCTTGGATAGTTATCAGTGCATTTTCTTGATGTACCTATAGTTTCCACTTAACTGCTTTGCTCTGTCCCTTTGGCCTACCCCGGTCAATGTTGCAGGGTGATGATGAACCAGAGATCCCCATAGATGGGACGGAATTATCTCACTACCGCCAGCGTGCCCTCCTGCAATCACAGCCAGTTCGACGGACACCTCTCCTCCATAATTTCCTGCACATGCTGTCCTCCCGCTCTTCTGGCATCCAGGTGGGAGAGCAAAGCACGGTGCAAGATTCTGCCACCCCCTCACCCCCACCGCCTCCCCCTCAGTCCTCCACGGAGCGCCCCAGGACTTCCGCTTACATCAGGCTCCGACAGCGGGTCACTTACCCCACAGCTGAGTGCTGCCAGCACCTTGGGATCTTGTGCCTTTGCAGCCGCTGCTCTGGCACTCGAGTTCCTTCCCTCTTTCCACACCAGGACAGTGTGCCCCCTGCTTCTGCCAGAGCTACTACCCCTTCCTTTTCTTTTGTACAGACCGAGCCCTTCCATCCCCCGGAGCAGGCCTCATCAACGCAACAGGACCAGGGCCTCCTGAACCGGCCGTCTGCCTTCAGTACAGTCCAGAGCAGCACTGCCGGCAACACACTCCGCAACCTCAGTCTGGGTCCCACCCGTCGCTCTTTGGGAGGCCCCCTGTCTAGCCACCCTTCTAGGTATCACCGAGAACTAGCTCCTGGGTTGACAGGATCTGAGTGGACCCGGACAGTACTCAGTCTGAATTCCCGTTCTGAGGTAGAATCCATGCCCCCACCTAGAACCAGTGCCTCGTCAGTGAGTTTGCTCTCTGTGCTGAGACAGCAGGAAGGTGGCTCTCAGGCATCTGTGTACACTTCAGCCACAGAAGGGAGGGGCTTTCCAGCCTCAGGATTGGCAGCTGAGTCAGATGGAGGCAACGGCTCCAGCCAAAACAACTCGGGCACCATTCGCCATGAACTTCAGTGTGATCTGAGACGCTTTTTCTTGGAATATGACCGACTTCAGGAGCTGGACCAGAGCCTGAATGCGGAAGCTCCTCAGGCCCAGCAGGCACAAGAAATGCTCAATAATAACATTGAAACTGAAAGACCAGGCCCCTCCCATCAGCCCACCCCGCATAGCAGTGAGAACAACTCCAATCTGTCCCGTGGTCACTTGAATCGATGTCGTGCTTGCCATAATCTTCTGACCTTCAACAATGATACTTTGCGTTGGGAAAGAACCACACCCAGCTACTCCTCTGGTGAGGCTAGCTCTTCCTGGCAGGTCCCTACTACCTTTGAAGGCATACCATCAAGTGGCAGCCAGTTGCCCCCTCTTGAGCGGACTGAGAGCCGAACACCCAACTCTAGCAGGCTGGAGTTGAGCAGCTCTGCTAGTCCACAAGAAGAGAGAACTGTGGGGGTGGCCTTTAATCAGGAGACAGGCCATTGGGAAAGAATTTATACCCAGTCCAGCCGATCTGGAACTGTATCACAGGAGGCCTTACATCAGGATATGCCTGAAGAAAGCTCGGAGGAAGATTCACTCAGGAGGTAAGCAGGTGTTCTCTTAACTCTCCAGTGTTTACTTTTTCATATTACTTACTTCCAGTCCCAGAGCTGTTGTGGCTGTATCTGGAGTGACTGGGACCCATTCATCTGCTTCTGATCTCCCCAGCGACCACTGCCTCTTTGGGAAATTTTGCTCTGGTGCCAGAGAAGGATAGGGCCTAATGGTATATGAGTCAGTCGACTCTGCTTGATCTCTTTCTGACATAGCTCACCTGACTTTTTAGCTTTGAAGAGAGGTTATAGAGGAGTGTGAGGTAGAATCATTGACTTCTTTTGCCCTGTTTTTTGACCTTGAGGAATTTTATATACAGGACAAGGTGTTCAGAGTGTCTGAGAATAAATGGTAGAAGAGGGCTCTGGGGCTGGAGATTAGTATATTGGCTTTCTTCATTTATGTTACTTTAGATAACTGTGTTCACCTCTAAATTTTATCTTTTGGAACATTGCAACCTGATGAGAGGAAAGGAGAAAAAGACTCCTATCAAGGAAATGATATTATATGAAATAATATTTTCTTAACGCTATGTTTTGAGACACCAGGTTAGTTGTTTGTTAAAATTCTTTAATTGAACCTTTCAGATGGACATTCACCTTAGGTTGGGAAGAAGGAAGAGTAACTCAGGGAAGGAAGGCCTCCCCCATGCTCTGATTGCATCCCAGCCAGCTAGCTCTTTCATGGGAGCAAAAGAGTGGGCGTAGTTGACCGCCTACCACATGTTCCATGTATGGCTGTGAGTGTCTCTCTTGATTTATTAGGGACTTCTTTCTGTATTTTTCTAAAGGTCAAATCTAGCGTAATCACCAACTCCCAGAATATGCCTGTAAGATCCAAACAGCATATTGCTCTGCTTATATCCTCTGTGGAAGCAACTGAAATTTCTGACACAAGCTTCTAACAAGAATGGGAATATGGATTGTGCACATAATGTACTTGTTATTTTGGGAAGATGCTGTAGATAGTTACTCAGTCAATAAGTGTTTCTTGAATGATTACAGTTTTTTTAGCACTGTGCTAGGCACTGTGAGGAATACAAAAGAAGTGTTAACAGCTACACCGTTAACCATGTTTTGTTTTGTTTTTTTTTGTTAACCATGTTTTGACCAGCATCTTCATATGTCGTACTAAGTTTAAATGGAGCCTGAGTTCACAGAGAGGGAAGTATCATTAAGAAAGGTTTTACAAAATCACATATTGAAAGATGGGTAAAATATGGAAAAGACAAGACTTCTCTTAGGAGAAGAGCACATGCTTGGGGAGAAAAGGAGGTAGTTTATGCAAGTAGATGACTGTTACAGGCTTGGAGTCGGGTATCGAAGGAAATGTGCTGCTTATCGAAGATGAACAAAGTAGTAGATGTTGTTACTTTGTGCATATGACTATATGTCAGTGCCTACTTTTGGAATATTTTCTTTGCACAGTGGTTCACATCAGAAACCTAGACACTGGTTTTCTTCCTTGTCAAATGAAGTGAGAGCATAGTGCCTACATACAGTAGGTACTTAAAAACTTATTGACGATAGACTTGATGTGACTAATTCAGTTCTGCTCCATGATTATCAGTTCCAGTTCCTGTTAACACTTTTGAGTTTTGAGTTAGCTTTTGTCCCTCCTACTAAGATCTCTTCTCATGTATTGTTATGGAAAGTATTTGAGTCAAATAAACGCTACTGTTTGAAATAGTTAAAGATACCAATTACTGAGGGCTTACTGTGAATTAAGGAACCCTAGTGGTGGTGTACACCTGCTAACTGAAGGTAGGCCATTTGAATCCACTAACTATCCTGTGGGAGAAATATGCACAGTGTTCCTTTGTAAAGATTTAAAGAAACCTAATGAAAAGATGCTGTGAGTCAGAATCAACTTAATAGCAATGGGTTTTGCTTTGGTTTGCTCTGTATTAAGTGTATATACTCTGTCTTGGGATTTTTAAGAAATTTTTTTAATAATTTGTTTTGCATTAATTCTTTCTTATTTCTTCTATTCGAGGCATTATTATATTTCTTTCCCATCTTAAGAAAGTTGAAGAAAGTGAGACTCAGAGAATCATCTTCATAATTTCTACGATGCTTTTGTACAAGTCTATTACATTTTATCTCCTTGAGGGTCTTCTCTTTCAGTAACCAGCCAGAATATCTTTTTCCAAGGACTGGTGCCTCCTGATAATTGGCCTAGAGTGTATGAGACAGAATTTCATCATCCTTGTCTCCAAGGAGCACTCACCTAGGGTGTACTTCTTTTAAGACACTGGCCACATGTATTCTAGTAGAATAATGTTCACTCTTAACCAGAAAGTCAGTGGTTGCCTGCTCCAGGGGGCTTGGTTTTTGGTAGGACGTGTATTTAATGAATACTTGAAATATGGCTAGAATGATCTGTGGAGCTAATTTTTTTTTTTATTTTAAGAGTTTTAAATGGTTAAAATTAAATAGCCCTATTTGGCTTGTGGCAACTTTATTGTACACCTAGAATATGAAAAAGAATTTTATAATAATGCAATTAATTTAAAATCCCAAAACTGGCTAGAATTCACATGAAGTTTTTAAGTATCTGTAAAATTTTTTTGGTGACAAATAGTATTGCCTCTAGTTTTTAAAGTTTAAGTGTTTAAAAATATACATTGTAGAAAATGAAATCCTTAGTCATACACCTGTAAAATAACGTATTTTTTCCTTTAAAATATTTTTTCATGAAAAATAAAGTATACACATAGCAGATGTTTCTCATTGTAAAACAATTTATTTTAAAAAAGCCAAAGTTCCTCTTGGAAGCCCCACCCAGTTTCAGTCTTTTCACTAGTAAACCAGTGTTTTTGGTGGTTTGGGGTTGGGTTTTTATCTGTTCCTAAGTAATAAAACACTGGCTAGCTGATCACCAAAAAATGAGACCTATTTTAAGTGCACAACCCTTAAAGCAGGGTCACTTTGTCAAAATTTGACTAGGTAAATCACGGATAGGCCATTTTTGCTCCTGTTTTCTCAAGGGTTGATATTCCCCAGCTGATTAACTAGCCCTTGTCCTAATTGTCCAGCAGGTGTCGCTATCGAGCTGCAGCTACTGTACTAGCTACTAGGGTGGGAAGAAAAGGAAGGTGTCTTTCCTGTCTATAGCAAACTCAATGTATGTAGCCTTTGTAGGTGTCTGTTTTTACTAAGTGAGTGGAGTTCACAGTTATTGTACATGAAGAGAGAAGCTTCTGTCCTTTGGCTCTGACTATAGTGAGAGATTGATTAAGGAGGAGCCTCTTTGATCCTTGGTGTTTCTGGAATAGCTTCATCATATTTGCTAATAATGTGAATGCTAATGAGTAAACAATGTGTATTTCGGTATAGGTGTATACTGCCAAGTGTACATGGTTCTCTTAAAACTAGAGGAAATCGGCGAGCTCAGGTGGCCTAGTGTCAAGAAGGTGTACTGCAATCCCAGAGGTGCATGGTTCAAATCCACCAGATGCTCTGCTGGAGAAGGAGGAACAATCTCCTCCTATACCAGTCAGATATGATTTGATGGCACACACACACACACAATAATAAAATTAAAAAACAAAACAAAAACAAAACCACACCCACCCCCCAGAGGAAATCTAGAGCTCATATAATCCAGCTTCTTTATTCATGAGATGAGACAGCTTAAATGCAGACTTTTTTTTAGAGATGCCTGTGTCCTGATAAAGGAGAGGGCCTACTTCATTAGAAATTCATGCTTTTATACATCAGTTTTCCTCCCTTACAGCCTCCATTGCTTAGTACACTAGTGACTGAGTGGACACTTGACTTAACTCTCTTTATAAGAAATTACAGATTTGACAGTAATTTGTAATGGTTGCCTCTAGACAGCAATAGAACCAGTACAATGTTTTTAGGGATATTGGAGAAACACTTTGTTTTAATTATTTGCCATTAGAACTGTGACCGTCCTTAAAAAGTGATCCCAATTAGAGATGTTCACTGTCAAAATGCCAACAATTGGGAAAGCAAGTTGAGCTGAGTCTTTTCTCCTCAACCAAATTATTTCTGTGCTACTTCTCCAGGTTGATAATAAAGTCATAAACGTAAAATTGTGTTCTGAGAACTGATGGATGTCTTTTGGTCTTTACTTTCCCCCTGTGATAGATGAACATTTGGGGAAACACTGGATAGTCAGTAGCAGAAAATTGAAGGACAGAGTTAAAAGCCCTCATTGAATTTCTTAGACTTTTGTAAGGGAATGCTTTCATGTTTGAAACGTTCTAAAGCCCCTTGAAGCTTCATGGGCCAGGCAAACTTGCTGGAGCCCTCAGCTGAAATATTGATGGAGCAGATATAGGTCCAAAACAAGGGGATATGGTGACTGAGAGAGGGAGTCAGCTTTAATGGTTTTTCTGTGGTACTGAACCAGCTGAGTCTAAAGAATTTATATATTTGAAATCCTTTCCAATTTCTTTGGATAGAAAATATATCCAATATATTATTCAGACCCTACCACAACTGTCACTTTCTCTTTGGAGAAACCTTGGCTAATTACTCTAGTTAAGCACTCCCTTTTTGCAGCTTCTGGACTTGCTTGTAATATTGTACCTATGGCAAAATAAATTGTTCAATTTCTCTTGGTGAGTACTGTGAAGGCAGTAAAGTACGTCTCTGTGTAGTATTTACTACCTGGCCCATAGCAGAAGTGTAATAAACAGTAGTTGAATCAATAAATTGAAATTATGCCCCCTCTGATTCAGTATACAGTGTAGATAATGTCTCTTTACAGTAAAAAAAAAACAACCCATAACCTATTGTATATCATATGGTATGTAGAGGCATAGACTCCGTAATGAATGATACTTAATTCATTAGGTTCAGTGGTTTTACCTGGAGTTGTACATGGAGGACACACTCTGTAATTTGAGCACACGTAATACAGAACTTGTTTCTTGGATGTTTCTTTTTGGGCCATGTTTCTCAGTTGTGAATTGGTTCTTCTGAAACTTAAATCATCCTGTGCACTTGGTCACCTG